TATTGGGATTTTAAGGGACTTTATACGCTCTCCAGAGCAGAGAGTGATGGCTTCTACCATATCCAAGCTGAAAATGGATTTGGACTTTGACAGCACTTCCATCAACCAGATTCATCTGGTGCTGTTTGGGTTTCAGGATGCGGTGAGTCCCTTGCCTTGCGCAGGGGGAGAGGAGTTCTTCCTGGGCAGGTTCTCCACTCTTCCTCACTCCCCTTCCTCCTTACCCTACTCATGCCAAACAGCCACTTTCTGCCCCAGTTCCTCAGAAGCTCCTGTGCTTGCTGGGGAGGGGGCAGGATGTGTGCACTATGGAGTAGACGAAGCCCTGGTGACTGATAATATGGAAGCCTAAGAAAAGCCTAAAGGTGTCTGAAGGTCAGGGGTTTGCCCGGTGACCTGTGGATCGCCAGTGCTGAACGTTCCCTTGCTCTAGGAGGAAACCTGGGGTGTAGCCACGGGCATCTCAGAGGGGCACCCGGGGCTACACACAGAGCCCTGATGTGTAGGAGCCTCAGTGAGCTCCATCAGGGTGGAGCCAGGGGTGGCGGTGCTGGAAGGGCTGCCCGCATGCTCTGATGTTTGTTCTGGGTCCTACGTGTATTTCCTCTTCTACCTCTCCTTGTACTGCAGAGGGGCTTGAATGTCAGTCTGGGTATGGTTTGGAAGCTCTAGCCTAAAACTGTCAAATGTGTTGTGTAGACTTTCAAAGGTGGGAGTGTTTTAGCAACTCATGCAGTTGGTACTTTATAAGACTTCATCTGACTATTGAAAAACAAGACTCTCTTTCCTAAGGTGTAAACTAATGTTGTTTGCTGCTCCTTTTACTTGCTTATTTATTTACAGGTGAACAAAGTATTAAGAAACCATTTAATAAGGCCCCACTGGATGTTTGCAATGGATAACATAATTCGCCGTGCAGTCCAAGCAGCAGTCACTATTCTTATTCCAGGTAAATCAAAGCAGCTGAAATTTTTTTTTTTTTAAAGGAGCTAGCTGTTTGCATATCAATGAGTTACAGCAAATGGAACAGTTTAGATGTTTAATCTGTTAGCATGCCATTAACTGCATCCCATGTGCCATGACATCAAAGGCACAGGGTCAGACTGTTGTACAGAAAGAAGTGTTGATCTGGAGGATTAATGCCGTACTTGCAGTACAAAAGCACATAATGAGCAGCTAACTGGTGGTTCTGCACCGCCAGCGTGGTCCAATCTGGACAAAAAAAAAGGCAAATTAAATCTGGTCCAAGCTGGAGATTTTCTATTTTCATTTTAATGACATCCAAGGTGGGTAATACTGCACAGGTCTGGTTATGTGCTCTGCAAACTGATTACTGAGCCGTGGAACAAATGCAGAGATGGGAATGCATTAATATGAAGAGGAATATGATTTTGGCCTACAGACAGAGTAGGAAAAATTGCCACCACCAAAAAGGAGGAGGATAAATGACTAAGTCTAAGTTGGAAATCTGCAAGTAGTTTTGTAAGTCTCTGAAGTGCTGAGCACCCTTCCAGTATGAGAATGTTCTGAGAACACTTAGAGATGGTGAGCCATTTCATCCACCTTTGCTTTGGCTTTCAAGACAAATTGGCCAAATTTTTTAGGGCTTTGTAAGAGAAAAATGCCAGCTATTCTTTGGTGGAAAGAGTGGCCACCTGCAGCATGTTCTGAGAGAACATGCTACCTGGAAAAGAGGAAGGCTTTGTAAACTCTTTGGTCAAGGGCATTAGGGGAAAATAACTGGGGTTTTTTTTGTTTGCTTTGGAAAAAAAAAAAAAAAACAAAACAAAACAAAACCAAACCAAAAACCATATCAAAAAACCCCAGGCTTTCCAGGGTTTCTCATTAATACATTTGTTACCTATCTCCTTATTATTCATTTCATCACGGATATATTTGTTCCCTCTACAGCTGTAATCTACAGCTACCTACCCCTAGTGGTATGCCACAGCTGAGCTATTACAGTGCCACTCACACTTACATTGGAGTTGCTGCCAGAGAATCTGTGGTCCAGTTTGTGTGAGGCTTCATTACTCCCCTGCTCAGCATTGCAGTAAAGCACATTGGGAAAACACTCCTTCCTCAGCTGAAGCTCCCTCGCCCACAGTAGTAAAGACCAAAGTGCAGTTATCTTTGAAGACAGATTTATCTAAAAAAATCCTTATTCTTACACTATTTCCTTTTACCAGAGCTTCGAGCTCACTTTGAGCCAGCATCAGAAACTGAAGGTGGGGACAAGGATGGTGATGAAATGGAGGACACTTTCCAACCTGCTGAACAAAATGGGGCTGAGGATCGCGCCGTCACCTCAGGAGTCGGCACCCTTAGTTCTGTGGCGTCACACGAGGCTCATCAGCAGCTCAGCCTGGAGTTGGGCAGACTTAAACAGGAGACCTTAAGGTAACCCTCCCATAAAGACTCTGGATTTATTTTCAGGCAGTCTTTGAAAAGCTCTCAGACATTGCTTTCTACAGTGACACGTGCATACGTAACATAAATACCACTCACCTACTCCAACTGCCTCGTGCTAAAGCAGACCTTCCAGGAACACAGATGGATTCAGAATGCGTTGGCAGCACCGGTATGACAACTCAACAACCTTCAGTACAACTTTTGTTTCTGTGTAATTAATTTTTTAATTGCAGAATGTCATGGTGGATTTCTACTGTGAAATAATTTGGCTCGTCCAACTGTGCCAGTTTCCTTCCTACTCCCTTGGCGCCCTGGATGCCACCTGACCCTGTGGCAGTGCCCCCAGAGCTGGTCCTGCAAGGAGAGGCCAGAGCTGCTCCCTCCAGGCCCATGGGCCTGGCTGCCCCCTAACTAGCCAGCACAAGCAGAGCTCAGCAGAGCCCCTGTCCTGTTTCTCATGGGTTACAGCTCTAGGCTGCTGCCAGCACCCTAACAGTTGAAGGTCCCATTCTTCTTTATGGATGTGATGTCAATCTGTGATCAGAAAGTCCCTGGTAAAACATCGGTGTAACCCTGCTCAGCAGTAAATTGCAGTATAAAGGCAGCAACTCTGCCCTGGGAGGCTGCAAAACAATAGGAACGGAATTTACAAGCTATTTACTGAATTCTGCAAAGATGAAAGCCTTCAAGTGCCACCACTAAGCTGAGTCTCAGACAAGAAAAATGAAATCTGTAAACCATAAAATGTTACTTAAGACAGTAGCTCTCAAATGTCTCTGTCCTTTGGTAGACATTAAAAAGGCTAAATATTTTTTTCAGTTAGACTTATTCTCAGTATGGTCATGTTTGATCTCTCTCCTATGCTAACAGGCTTCTGGAAAACCTTGTTCAGACAGAGAAAGAGTATCAGACCCTCTTACGACAATCTTTGGAGCAGAAAACTCAGGAATTACGCTTGCTTCAGTTAAAACTTAAACCCAAAGGTATGAGGAGATGCTGCATGCTTTGATAGTTGCACACAAATATATTGGATCACGTGTTTGCTTAAAGGATAAAAGACAGTATACTTTAAGCTTCAGTAATCTGAAAACCACCCCCCTTTTGCCCTATTTTGAGGTGTATTAACCTAGATGTTTGTTTTCTGTTAAAGACTCCCAATGGTCTGCAGCAACTTTTACAGAGAATGCAGATCCTGAGCTCATGAACTGGCTCAAACAACAAGGAGCAGATCTGGATGCCATTAAGAGGGTAAAAAAAAAAAAAATCATCAAAAGTCATTGTAATCATAATTACAATGCAGGAATATTAATTACAAAGCAGGAATATTAATTTAGGAATAAATTTGCTTTTTAGTTTGCTGAAGAAGACTATACACTAAGTGCTGTCCTTAATGATATCACTAAAGATGATTTGCGGCATCTACAACTGCGGTAAGAAAGCACTTTTAGTTCATTGTAAAATGAATTTACAGTAGTTCATTCTACTGAAAGTAGTTTTTAAAAAAACTTTTTTAGAAGTTGGGTTATTCAGATAGGTCAGTGACAGTTCAGTGGCAACTGCTGTGAATTTAATCTCTGGTATTGTTAAATTTTTTGACATCGTCACTGACACAACATAACTCTTCCTAGGCTGCTTCAAGTCATCTAAATTTGGCATTTATCAAGCTTGGGAACTATTTCTGCCTCTTCAGGATGATGTAATCAGATGGAAAACAGGCATAAACAACTTACTTTCAAGTCCTTTCACCACCATTCCGTTAACCCCTGGTTGACGTGGAAGAAGTTGTTTTAGCTATAACCTTAAAGAACGCATAGTGTTTCCTATGTACTGTCATAACTGGTATATCCTTGGGATTTCTAGGTTTTACTTCTTGCTCACTCAAAAGTAGCCGAGATGAGGGCTTTTTCCCTAACTGTTCTCCATTCTTCATACAGGGGTGGTCTTCTCTGCAGAATCTGGAATGCAATATTAAACCACCGACAAACATCTGGTAAGACCTCAGTGCAGAAGGTTAATGCTTCAGGAGGAGAACATGAAATGGGAATAAACAAATGAAAAATACATTCCTAACACTTAAATTATGAGATGTGTATATATATATATGTGTGTATGTACAGTGGCCCTGCAAGTTTTGCACAACTATGTAGCTTGTTTGACCATCACTGTAATACACAGTGAATAGTAACAGCTTTTAAGTCATGTCAATGCACTTAAATTATTTATGGCAGAGTAATGCCAAAGTCAAATGCCTTTCAATCAATGTAATTGAAAGTATTAGCTGAGGAAAAAAACCCTTTTCTGCAAAACAGGTACCACACACCTGAACTGGCTTTAGCGTGGAAAAAACTGTGAACTTCAATTGTGTTACAGTTCTGCTGGCTGATGGTTTGAGCAGGGAGGGGATATGCTAGAGCATAAATGAATGTATAGAGCTTTTTGTATTAAAGCTGCTCTCACTGAACTACTAAGAAAGGCCTGGTGTGATGTTTTCATTTAGTAAGTTTTCTGTGGCAAAAACACAGCATCTAAATGGCAGTTCTGGTGAGGTTTTTTGGAAAGATGTTCATCAAGAAACAAAGCAAACTAGATAAACGTCATTAAGGTTTAATTTTTTTTTTTAAACTGTACATAACACATACAGCAATCCAAGCAAAAGTCAGTAAAGCAAACCGATAGCAATTTAAATAAACCACTGCTTTCTCTTCATTTAGCTCCTTCTGAAACAACATTCAGTGTGTTTAAGAAATCCATACTGAGATGGCTTTCCCTACACATTTCTTCTTTTGAAAGAGCTTTTAAATAAACTTCAGGGTTGTTTCCGAGTCAGTGTAGTTCCTTTGATGCATCCACTTATTCTTATGAATAAGTTATGCCAACAAGAAGGCCTTTAGCTGACAGACTTGTACCTTATCCACTGGTTTGGGCCACGCACTTCGAAGGGTGGCTCATTGAAGTAGATGTGGTTACCTAATTCTTCCAGTGGTGGCTCTGGGTCAGTGGTAGCAAATTGAGCAGCCTCCTCAATCTCCTTCCTGACTGCCACATCAATTTCCTAAACCAAAACCAGATGCTTATTAGAAGACAGCTCAGAAAAAGCATCATCATTTTCAATTTAAAACGATTAAGTCTTGGTTCGAATTTGTGTTAATGCTGTCTATAAACATAAGTTAAAAATCTGTGAAAACTCCCTACTAAGCTGCAGCGCCTCTACCTTTGGATAGCACCAGTAACTTACTGCCAGAGGAACATGACCCCACCGAGCCTCTACATTTTCCATTCTGATTCTGCAAAACACAGATTCAGTGTCCATTTTTTTTTAAACAGAGTTGATGAAAGTATTTGCAACACTAGAGGGTTCCTGACTCCTTCACTAGGATTTTTCACTACTGATAGTTTCCATTTGTTTGAGGCCTACCTAGGAGGGGAGTGGGTGAGAAAGCCTGCGTGAGTTTGATTTCTACGTGTTGGTAGATGACGAGAACTGTATTGGAAACGCTACACCCACACACAGCCTCGTGCTGCTGAGTTACACTTGGTGCCCAGAAGCAAAATGCCTTTCCAGCAGAGTGCAACTTCATTAGTTGGTCTGCATCAAGATATCACCTTCACAAACAAAAGCAATGTTAAAACAAACTTTAAAGACCTGCAAAGAACATGCAATGCACGCGGCCCTAAGATGTGTTTTTCAGAGATCCTTAGCATGTGAATGCTCAAGAGCTTGCTTAAATAGCAACTAAAAGCCATACCTTTAATTCTTCAATGCTAGCAAGGTTATTGTTGACCATTCTGTCCTTCAACAAAGTAATGGGATCGCTTTTGCTTCTCACTTCTTGAATTTCTTCTCTAGTACGATAGCTAGGAGCAAGGCAAGCAAAGACGTGAGCTTCTTCAGTGGTATCCTCAAACAGAGGTGAGGTTCTGGACACAGCTCACTTTTAGAAAAAGGTGTGACCAAAGAATTGTCAGGAATGCAATGAAAACTACAGCAACATTTATCATTCCAAGGGTGGCACAGCTACATCTAAAACACTTCTTAGATCTGCAAGCGACAACCAAGCTGAAATAGTTTTAGACTCAAGTATAATATAGGCAGGGAAAGGGGAGCACTCCCAGCCCCAGACAGTTACAGTGAGTTACTCCTTCCCGTCTCCACTGAGGGGGGGCCAGGTGACTTGCTGCATGCTTCCAACTCCCTCCGAGTTTCCAACGAACCACTGGGATATACCCCTACTTCATGTAGGGCAATTCAGATCTGCCAGCTGGCACCAGCACCTGAGTCTCTCTGGCACCTCCACATTTGTGTTTTAAAGTATTCCACTTGACTGGACAGTCCAAACTATTCCTATAATTTTAGTTTACAGGATTTTAGGCACTCTAAAAACCTTGGGAAAGCATGCTGCTTTTCAGTCAAAGCTTAATTAGAACACACCATAAAGTCACACTGGAAGCAGAATTCATTAATAGAAAGTACAGAAGTTTAACTGACTTTGTGCTTGTTCTAAAACTAAATCTCTTAATATGGCAAGTAAACCAAATATGTTACATGGCCACAGATTATCAACTGAGCAATGGGATAATCAGACTGCTTATAGCAATTTCACCATAATCTTTATATGCACTTCACAATGGATTTAAACACTGAATCCAAGAGTTTCAGGATTTTGACCATCAATACTTACTGGTTTTCAGTGAATGCCAAGAAACAATGTCACAGTACCTTATTCCAGGGTCACTCATACTGTGGCCATGGTAACGGTATGTCTGCAACTCCATCAAAATAGGACCCTTAAAAGGAAAAAAATAGAGTGCTGCCACCTTGAGTGACCAATTTGTTGTTATAGCAGCAAGTATTTGCTACAGGTGAATTGTACCAATGAGGAATGATTTTGTCAGTGTTTTTTCTCAGTTTAATTTACATGACATTATCACAACTAGTAAAACAAAACTTTGCTCCTTTCAAATGAAAGCCCATGTTGATACTGTAAGCACTTATTCTCATGTTCTTACTGAGCAGCATTAAACAATTTCTTCCCTTCCAATGTCATTCCATCATTACTCAGACTGTTTCAAATTGCCTGTTGTTTCACCGCAAAATTGTAACTCGCACAACCTTATTCTTCCTTATGAGCATTTTTCTTTTTCTGTTGTATGTTCCCAGTGCAAATGTTATCTCACCAAATATTCAAAATCTTCAAAACCAGCGTAGCATTCTGGAGTGACAGACACTAATGCTGACTCGCAAAACTTTTACTTCCCTTTCCATTTGTTGTATATATAGAATTACTACTTTCCTTGATGCTTCCCCTAATTAATCTTTTCACAAAGAACAGAACTGCCTGACAGTCAGAACACCTTTCACAACAGAATTTAACTGGAGTAGAAATGGGTAAAAAGGTAACAGAGTATCAGGATACCTAAATTTTTTTAAAGGCTTGGTTAGTACCAATTGCATATTCATAAATTCTGACAAAATTAAAGAACTACTCAAATGCTTACAGGTTCAATACTGCGAAAAAAGGAAATAAAGGTCAAACAGTTTCAACAGTGACTGGAGAAAATGGGCTAGAGATAAGGAACTTTTTATGCAGCAATAATCTGGCTAAGAATTTCACCCATGGAAAAGGAAGGACAATTACAGACTTACTTTTCCAGCTCTGCAGTACTCAGCTGCAAACTTTGCTGCTTCTCGAACACAGAGAATATCCATGCCATCCACCTGATAAACAGAAACTACAAGCTGAAACCAAAAAATGCCAAACCCCAAATTTCCAATTTCAATACTTCCACAAGTCCAACAGTAATTCAGTTTCAAATTTTTCTATATTTAAAAAAGCATTTAGAAATATATTTGTAAATCAACGCAATAAATATATATGTATGTATTGTGCAGGCGTATGTGCATGCATCCCCCCACTTCCACTCCCCCTCAAAAAAAGCTGTGACTGTACTCGCCCTGAGCCCTGGAATGAAGTCTCCTCTTCTGTAGTAGTCAGTACTGGCTGCAGCTCTTTCAACTGAAGTTCCCATTCCATACCGATTATTCTCACAGATAAAAATACAAGGCAACTTCCATAAGGCGGCCATATTGTATGTTTCAAATATCTGGCCCTGAAAGAAAACATCAAGTTACATCTAGACAGGGTGCTCAGCCTTCAAGCATTAGGCTCTACTGAAAATCATTCAGTTGCAGAAGTCTAGCTAGGAGAAATTTTAATACTAAAAGTGATCTGAAACCAGCCACTTGCTGCAGCGCAGCAGGAGTAAAAGAGAAGCTACAGTACATAAGGTAGCTTTCACCTCAACTAATAGTTGATAGAACTTATTTTTTTAAACCTGTATTAGTATCTGTGTGACGGTAGCACAAAACCGTCAACCTTGACTGAAGTATTTCAGCAACAGTTGTAAAAAAACTTCACAACTGATTAAATGTGGCAGGATGCTGCTACAGTAAAGTAAAAGAAAAGTTCGGCCACAGTGACTGCATCAGCCTTGCTCCTCTAAGTCAATGACAGGGAAAACCAAGAACTGAGATCTCCACCTGTGTTTTGAAAGTGAGAAATTAGATCAGTGGTACACTCTAAAATACCAATTTCTTATCTGGCTTAATGTCTCTGCTGATAACATGAAAAGACTGGCTGGAATGTCAACAGTAAGTGGCTCTGTGAGACACTCTGTCCTCTCCACTGTCTTGAGAAATATAAGTTACATGGTTTTTCCCTATTCAGCATCTTCACTTCTATTGCCCAGAGCTCTCCTTACAGCACAGAGGCTTCAGGGCATCACGCTCAGGCGAGTCATGTGCAACTGGATAGAGGGTAACAAGAGTAACTGGAAACCCCTCCTCCTGTGACTTGCGTGGTGTTCACATAATTAACCATTAGCCTCACTCACTCCCTGAGCTTCTAGAGCACTCCAGAAGGGAAGGAGCTGAGCAGCTTTCCCTCATTCCAGCGACAAAGGCAGAGTTCAAAATGGGGTTGGGGAAGGACAAACATTTACACAGGTCCAAAACATGATAAAAAAAATCCAAGCACATGCTACATTCCCGATACATAAAGAGCACCTAGCAATTAACTTCTTAACTGTTCAGCTGAATGACCCCTCTTAGAACTACACGGTTCCTGAAACGTACTCCCACTCAAATGCCTAAGACAACATAAATAAAAGGTGCTAGTGACCAAAATTTGCAAGATGCCTGACCACCTACATGAAGTTTCTCTCAGTGAACAGCACTTCACAACAAAAGCCCTAAGAAAAATAGCAGTGGACTGTAGGAGATAGGGTGTACATTATTTTATCTCTCCAGGTTTGCCTTTTCAGCATCAGTGGACCCCTTTAATAAAGCACCCCTGCAGCGGAAAGCCCAGCACACAAGTCTCAGCGTAAGCTTCCAGTCAGACAGTGCCCAGGTTGCCGGCACCACAGCGGCAGGGCCGAAGGGGCTCTCCCACTGCTCGGTGGAAAGGCAGAGCTCACAGCTCAAAGAAGGAAATTCGATTACCCACAGTCACACTCCCCCTCACAGAGCCACACCAGGCAGAGCTGGCTTACCTGATTGGCTGCACCATCCCCATACAGCGTCAGACAGATTTCGTTTTTACCAAAGTATTTACAGGCCAGCGCAATCCCAGCTCCGAGAGGAACCTAGCACAGAGTACAGGACAAACCGAGATTTTAGAACAATGTTTAGAGTTGGACACAGGCAGCTTGTGAACTGTAAAGAGACATTTGCACTGTTAGAGATGTGCTCGACATACAAGTTGTTAACAACCCACTTCCATTTGTTTCAATCTGCATTACAGCCAAAATCTAAATACGAACTATCTTCTCAGTTTGATTCGTTTTGCTACAGTTTACAAAACAGTGAGCAAACCAGAATAAAGACATAGCAGATTTAATATCCACAAAGCAATGGTATCTGCATACAAACTCACACCACAAAAACTGAGAAGAAACACTGGCACAGGACATGAGCCAAATTCAACTTGTGCTTTGAAGTAGAAGTCACGTATATACCTGAGCACCAACAATACCATTGCCACCATAGAAGTTTTTGGTATACATATGCATTGATCCTCCTTTTCCCTTCACACATCCTCCTTTTCGACCTGAAACATGAATAACGAGCAATTTATTTTTTCGGAGGAAAAATACTATGCAAATGGGAACATCTAACTCAATTCCTAAAGGTAATAGCACCATGACCATGTTGCTGTCATTAGATCTATGTGGAGTTAAGACACAATGGCCTCTCCCCGAAAAGTTTGTAATTAAATATATCACAAAACAAGTAAGAGAAGGGGAAAAAAGAATGATAATGAAAACGTAATTCAGGAAATACAGAATGAGATTAAGAAGAAATTTTAAAACTAACATAGGCGTTTCAGTGTCTTATTATACAAAAGCACTTTCTGATAAATATATATTGGGTTTTTTAAAATAGCAACATGGTCTGTTTCTCACACATGTAACCTTTAAGAGGTAGCATATACAGTCCTAGCTACTTTTGGCTTCTGCAATACAGTTATGAACACTGTTCCGAGTTATCTGCAATAATCTACACTTGTATTCCCTGTGACAATAACCAAAGAAAAAGCTACAGATAAGACATGAAAAAACCCAAAACCATCAAAAGAACAAACAAAAAAAACCCAACAAGCCACCAGCTCCCCATCCCACTGCAGGAGGATCCTCAGGAAGTCACCCAGCCCAGCTTTATTCAAGCTGCAGTTTGAAGATAACTGTGGTCCCTGAAGCATTACAACAAACACTGTTTAAATAAGCTGATCTAAGAACACAATTTCTCAGCAGCCTGCTCCATTTCTTATTCTAACCTGTCTTGTTACTAGACATAAAATACAAGCCTTTGTGGCTCACAAGCACAGCTTCTTTGGTTGGCTTTTTTGCCTTAGCCTTGGTGTTTATTTTAGAAGTTGAATGCTGAATCTCTTTCTGGAATTTGTATTTCTCTTTCTTAATAGTGGCTCATTTTTATTATTGCTCTTACTCATACCTTTCATATGCTTATGAATGGGTTTCATGGGAGCTTTTATGGATTCTGCCAACTAGGGCCAAAGGGAAAAAAAAAAAAAAAAAGAATTGTATCATTTTAATCAGAAAGCTTTTTTTCTTAAATGTAATTTAACTTCAGTAATCTCCCTCCACTTTCTGTACAATCCTCTCTTGTATTTTAGCAAGTATTTAAGAACTAATTGAACAATGTCACTTTTTGCTATACTTTCTACTTGGAGCATAAAACCACTTCTTAGGGAATTGTCAGTTCTCCTGAGAAGTCCTTTTCTAGTTTGTTTCCTGTAGGATCTGATCTACTAATCTTATTTTGGTTGACTCAGCTTCCTGCTCCTTCAAAGGCTTTTTAATTCTGTCCTTTCCTGGTCATTTTAACTTAGACTGACTTTCACTTTGACATTTTCAGTCAAGGTCTTTGTTTGCAAGAATCGGCTCTAGCAGCACTGCTCTCTAGAAATGTGCCCCAAGCGTCATTTCTTGGAACAACACTCTCTGTACTGTGGCTGCTCTTTCCCAATTAAAAGAACCCCACTAAAACCAAGCATAATGCTATAGATGACGTGCATCATGAAAAGAAATAAGGAAAAAAAAAACCCACATATCAGCACTGGTATTTGTGGTTTCAGGGCCAATACCAGACTTCAGTCATGACCATCTCATTTACTTTCTCTCTTATCAGTATCTGGTGACTCTCGGCAAGCCAATCATCCACTAGACTCTGGGCTTTTCTGCATGTTATTAATACACATTCTTAACCCACACATATATTCTTAGTATATGAAACTGTACCTCTTCTCTGCCTCCAAAACATGCTTTCCTATATTAACGTTTCAAGCATGCAAATTCTCAGATCAAGTCTTTATTATACCAATGATCCTTAAAGGCTATCAAACTCCTTGTTCATTTTTTACTTCTGGCATCAGTTCACTGACCTCTAAGAGCTCAGAAGGCTGACCCCCTCTTCTCTTCCCTGCTCCACCTACAACCCTGTTGTGAATAACCATCTCTCCCTTCTGCAAAGCCTTGTATTTGTCTGGAATACCATTTAATATTCTTGTTACAGTCAAATTTTCCCACACCATTCAGTTTATCGTTACAGGCAGTGTTTACCAGTCTTCCTAATAATTCAGCAGCATAATTCTGGAAATCCAAGTCTGCCTCGCAGGGAAGGGAATGCCCTGTCCTATTGAGAAGGAATGCCTACCACTAGCAAGTTCCCTTTAAATAAGCTGCTGCAGCACAACAAATGCAGCATATGGTATCAAGAAAAATTTTCTGAATTTGTGCTTCAGCAGTATCAGCACTTAAATACTCCTTATAACTTGACATTTTATAGTAGAAGTGGTTGCATCATAAAATTATAAAATTGATTTATTCTGCTACGTCACTAAACTGCTTCTGAAGCCCCAGTTTGTGCATCAACATAATTCTGAATCTGAATTAAAAATTCTGACACAAGCACAGCAGCATGCGAATCCTCATTTCACTTGGCACAAACCTGTAAGTTCAGCGAGAATCTCTCGAACAGGCACTCCTCGTGCATAGGTAAAGCCATGAGCTCTGTAAGCTGTTATCACATGGTCTGTAGGCTTTATGGCAGCTTCAATCCCTACACAGCATGCCTCCTGTTACAAATAAGAAGTAAGCTTAGCAATGAAGAAAAGCACACAACTTTCAGTCAGCAGTGTGGCAAGGGCTAGCTATAAATCCCCACACATCAAATACCAGCAGAAAACAGGAAGACCACAGATATAGGAGACTGTCTTAAATCCCAAGGGGCAGCAGGCCTGGAGCTACAACAGCCTTGGGCTCTAAATTCCAAACTGACTGTGACTAACAAAAGCAGACAGGAGGGGAACCAGAAGCTGCAAAAATCTGTGGACTTTTCTATGCACATCTCCCAAATGAAGCATCTAAACAACAGCAATTCAAAAATGGCAGGGCAGAATGGACAGGCAGCAGTTTCACTAAGTTCATGAAATTCCTTCTTCCGGCTGTTGCTTTTCAATGTGCATGTGAGCTTTGAGACACTGGAACAAAAAATAACAATGAAATTTGAGGAGGAAGATGTGGGCTCCCCAAATGTGTTGAATTTAATATGCTGCAGTTGCGCATTCCTCACATTCAGCTGATCTTCATCTGCACCTTGTCTCTTCTCTCTTCCTACTGTTTTTTTAAAGAAATAACTAAATCATTGATCCAGCTACAACTGTATAGGACCACAGAATGGTTTATGTTAGAAGGGACCTTAAAGATCATCTGGTTCCAACCCCCCGCCACGGGCAGGAACACCTCCCACCAGCCCAGGTTGCTCAAAGCCCCGTCCAGCCTGGCCTTGAACCCTTCCAGGGAGGGGGCAGCCACAGCTTCTCAGGGCAACCTGTGCCAGTGCCTCACCACCCCCACAGCAAATAATTTCTTCCTTCTATCTAGTCTAAATTTCCCCTCTTTCAGTTTAAAACCATCACCCCTTGTCCTATCACTACACTCTCTGATAAAGAGTCCCTCCCCATCTTTCCTGTAGGTCCCCTATAAGTACTGGAAGGCCGCTATAAGGTCTCTCTGGAACCTTCCCTTCTCCAGGATGAACAGCCCCAACTCCCTCAGCCTGTCCTCACAGGGGAGGTGCTCCACCCCTTTGATCATCCTCATGGTCTCCCCTCTGGACCCACACAAGCAAGTCCATGCCTTTCTTATGTTGGGGGCCCCAGAGCTGGACACAGCATTCCAGGTGGTGTCTCACCAGAGCGGAGTAGAAGGGGAGAATCCCCCTCCTTGACCTGCTGGCCACACTTCTCTTGATGTAGCCCATGATACAGTTGGCTTTCTGGGATGTGAGTGCACACTGCTGGCTCATTGTCAGTTTTCCACCCACTCATACCCCCAGGTCCTTCTCTGCAGGGCTGCTCTCAATCCACTCATTGCCCAGCCTGTATTTGTGTTTGGGATTGCCCTGACCCATGTGCAGGACCTTGCACTTGGCCTTGTTGAACTTCCTGAGGTTTGCCCGGGCCCACCTCCCCGGCCTCTCCAGGTCCCTCTGGATGGCATCCCTTCCCTCCAGCGTGTCGATCACACCACACAGCTGGGTGATGTTGGCAAACTCACTGAGGGTGTGCTCAGTCCCACTGTCCCTGTCCCCAGCAAAGATGTTGAACAGCACCGGTCCCAATACTGACCCCTGAGGAACGCCGCTTGTCACTGGTCTCCACTTGGACATCGAGCCATTGACCACAACTCTTTGAGTGTGACCATCCAGCCAATTCCTTACCCACTGAGTGGTCCAGCCATCATATCCATGTCTCTCCAATTTAGAGACAAGGATGTATTGTGGGACAGTGTCCGATGCTTTACACAAGTCCAGATAGATGATGTCAGTTGCTCTTCCCTTATCCAACAACACTGCAAAGCTGTCACCAAATTCATCAGTCATGATTTGCCCTTAGTGAAGCCATGTTGGCTGTCACCAATCGCCTCCTTATTTTCCATGTGCTCTGGCATAGTTTCCAGGAGGATCTGCTCTATGGTATTGCCGGGCACAGAGATGAGACTGACTGGCCTGTATTTCCTTGGGTCTTCTTTTTTTCCCTTTTAAAAAATGGGGGTTACCTTTCCCCTTCTCCAGTCAGCAGGAACTTTACCAGATTGCCATGACTTCTCAATTACGATGGATAGTGGCTTAGCCGCTTCATCTGCCAGTTCCCTCAGGATCCATCAATGCAGCTCATCAGGTCCCATGGACTTGTGCATCTTTCAGGTTCCTTAGATGTCCCCAAACCTGATCTTTTCCTATAGTGGGTGGTTCTTCGTTCTCCCAGCCCCTGCCTTTGCCTTCTGCACCTCGTGTGGTGTGGCTGGAGCACTTGCCAGTGAAGACTGAGGCAAAAAAGTCATAGAGTACCTCAGCCTTCTCCATATCCTGGGTAACCAGGTCTCTCGTTTCCTTCCAGAGAGGGCCCACATATTCTCTTGTCTTCCTTTTATCATCAATGTACCTATAGAAGCTTTTCTTGTTGCCCTTGATGTCCCTGACCAGACTTAATTCTATCAGGGCTTTGGCCTTGCTAACCTGATCCCTCGCTGCTCAGACAATTTCTCTGTATTCCTCCCAGGCTGCCTGTCCTTGCTTCCGCCCTCTGGAGGCTTCCTTTTTGTGTTTGAACTTCAGACGTTATACATAGATACTCAGTTCCAGATTTACTCTCCGCTCTATTCAAATCCCTACATTAAGTAAGGCAAGACAAAATAAAACCTCTTGGAAAAAAAAAATTCTTACCTGACCATCATATAAGTGGCAGAAGCCACGAATGATCTTCTGCTTGTACAGCTGATCAGACTTCAGCTCCATGCGTCGTATGGTCTGCATTGTCTTGTAGTAATGGAGCCCCTCCTCTCGAGTCATCACTGCTGTGGTACTGGGGCCTTCTTCCAGGCGATGGAGGTCACATTTCTGCAAAGTTGAACAAGTAGTCATTTCTGGAAACTAATTCATCCTATTTATGAATATCACTTAATTTTTTTATGATGTGCCATTTTCAAATTCAGATTTTAATATCTTTTTAAAAAGAAAGCCAACAAAACCAAAATTCATAGGTCAAAATAACTGTAAATTTTGTGCACTATTTCCGAATTCAGGGAAATAAAAATCTTTTAATAAAAACAGATTTCCACTCATGAAATAAAGCCTCGTAGTTCCTACTAGCAGTAGATGAGCTAAAGTCCTAACAAAATACCGGAAAAGCACATTTCCATGAGTGTTGCATGCCAAATACTTGGTAAGACCTGCAGAGGCTTAGTGAAGAGACAAGAAAGATAGCAAGCTCCTTCTGTTAAACAGTTTGGACTGGACTTCACCTCTTCTACCACCACTTCTAATGAGCAGTAATAAACCACTGCTGCACGAGCCACCCTGCCAGACAAACCACCATGTGTACAGAACAAATTCCTCGCCAAACCATGGACTCCATATAGTTGCCCAGAGGGCTGATTTTAGGTACCCATGCAAAATGAAAAATAAAAAAAAAAAAAAAAAAAAAAAATCAAATCAGTCAAGTTCAGTGGAACAGACCAAATTACTCCTCAGTATAGACTAAATAGCCAAAATACTGCTAATACAGATTAAAGACAGTTTATTTTATTTATGTTTAAAGACAGTGAAGCAAAGTCCCTCCACAGCAAATCCACTGACACCTAGATGAATTTGATATAATACATGTGCACACTACTTTTAATACAGCTCTGCTTCAGAGTTCACGTAACAAGAGAAACTTTGGCCCTGTGTTTATTACAAGACTCATAACATTAAACCTTTTATCTACTCAGAAAAGGCTTTTCATATAAACATATTTTTCCTTCTTTTGCCTGTGAAAAAATTTTAATACTTTACAGGCACACATAAACAGGGAGCAGGGTAAAAGGAAAACTGAGTAATTTATTTCAGAGTTTAATAATTCCTGAATGAAAAGCCAGCACAAAAGCTACTGCCAATAGAAGTGTTGCTTTTTCCTAAGACCTAGCCACTCTGGAACGCTGACAGATAACGCACATTTTTTAAGCAACACCAAATCAAGCATTAAAAACAATACCATAATTTTTCCTCAAAAATCCATATGGACCCCAATCAGCTGCACAAGTGGATACATAATGAGATGGAAAAAGGAGTAAGTAGCAAACGCCAGCTATCTGTTTTAAAAGCATTAAGGAAACATTAATACCCTTCCCATCAGAACAGAAAAGGTTTTTTAGTCCCTTTGTAATTCCATTCTCACAGCTGCACTGCAGCATCACAGCTGCAAAGAATCACAACTTCACATTCTTAAGAAACAACTAACATTACTGCATACTGCCAAGCACAGTGCTTCCAGCTGCATTTAGAAATCAAGCCAGATAGGGAGGGGTTCAGTTCTAGAAATTGAAACAGTATTTTTCTAATAGAAAAGAGAAGAAGGCAAGTCCATCACATCAAGACCTACAACAAGTGCTTGCTTAGAATGTCAGTATTAAGTATTCAGCTGTTTTACCTTAATTTCAAACGTAGCTTCATTTGCAAAGTCTGCATAGTTACGCGATGCTACCACCATTCGAGGTGCCTTAAAAAAAAAAACCAAAACAAAAACAAAACATGAACAATATTTAAATATAGTTATCAAGCAAAAGTAGGTGAATTCTCAAACAATTTCTAACAGTACTCCTAAATTGAAATAATTTGTCAATGAAACTGTTCAGTGGCATATCCCTATAATACAACAGCTTTTATTTTGTATATATGTGCTAGAAATCCTTAAAAACCCCAATATTCAAAATTAAGATTAGAAAAAGAGACTAGAATTTTAAATTTGTAATACCCCTTATTATCTAAAGTAATGCCATTAAGCTTCAAAAGACTGTGAAAAGCGTAAAAAACACAGAAGTTAGTATTTTTCCCTTCACATGACAGATTGCCTATATGAATAAAGACATAGCTGATGCAAATGTGATAGCTTTCTGTGCTGACTGGAATTTCACATTGATGGAACAAAACCTGTCTTTGCTTAAAAAAAAAAAAAACAAAACAAAACAGGAAAAAAAAAACAACCAACCCAGCAGATTTCTGGAATATGAACTACTCTCACGCCTTCCCTTCAGTAGGAAGAGAAGTTGGAAGAATGCAAGGCAATAACAATGAAGAAAGAGAATGTAATTTAAGTGGGTAACAGCACAGCCACTACTTAAAAATTATATTAAAACATAAAAGGTGACATACCTAAGGATACATGAAACACAGAGCAACAGAAAAGGGCATGGTAGGGAAGAGATAAGAAGTATGTTTAAAAATACACTAGTGTTCTGTCCTAAAGAACGTGCACAAGCTATTAACTAATGAACTGGTATTTTTAGATAATTTCAGGGAACTTCACTGCAGCATCAGATAAAATGCTCATCTGCCCGTGCACATGTTGTAGCCACAGCATAAGGAACCCACTGCATCTTTAGCATCAAAATTGTATCGCTAATGAAGTTACACATAATTTTCAGCAGCTCGTTCAACCATGGAATTCCCATACATTTAGCTGAAGGTTCATTCTTTCAAACCTTTGAGAATATCCAGGTTAATGTCTCCAAAAAAGGTCCAACTGATAGGTATAAAACTTGGGAAAAAAACACAAGAAATTTCTCAATCCATCTTGATTACCTATTCTGTTGCATATTTGATTTAGCAACCACAATTGCCCCTGCCCCTTCCCTCCCCATTACCAGATTAAGCATTTAGAGTTTTTAATTTAAACCAAGTTTCTACACTGTTTACCAATAATACTGATGCACTGTAGTTAGGAAAACTGGAGCTGGAAGTAAATCAAGAGTTTGGGATTTGCAGAATCACAGACTTGCCGAGGTTGGAATGGACATCTAGTAGGTCATCTAGTCCAACCTCCCTACCCTGAATACTACATAAAAGCAACACAGAGGAGTCTGTACAGAAGTTCTAATACATGGCCAATACATGTATCACAAACAAACCTTGACAAGGTTGATTCAGGCCTTACCTCACTAACGGCTCCCTAGGTTAGCAGCATTTCGAAGGATAAAATAATAAAAAAAAAAAAAAAAAAAAAAGAAAAAATAGTAAGTAACTATAACACATAACTAGGGGAGATGTCAGCAAATTACTAGCCAACTAGAACACTGCAATAGGTAGTTTCCTCACAGGTAAACTCTGTGTTGTGGAAATCCATCTATACACTTTGCAATCTGCTCAAAGTGTACAGAAAATACTGCTTTATGGATTAAGACTGCTTCTATTTATTTGGTAACTTATTCCTTCATTATAAATGCATAGGAACAATTCAAGACAACTATTTATGTATTTGGTAATCACTAGGATCCAAACATCTACATAAAGATATCCAAACCAGATCTAGTTTGGAATTCCATTAAAATGCAGTATGTCAGGACCAGGCCAAGAACTTGTAGTAAGGGACTAATTTCAGGCACCCAAATTTGAAAATTTTAATATAGGTATTTTACTTGTAAATTAGGAAATACTTTTAGATATCTAGTCCCAACACACACATGAAGATCTTCCAGTAAATCTGCTCTCTCTTGTCACTCTCACTAATCCTGTCACCCACCTGCTTTTTCCACAAGAAGAAAATGCTAGGTGAGCTACTTCAGAATAGAGGTACAGTAACAGATTTGCTTTCAATGGCAAAAAGGCAGCTGACTTCCAATTACCAGAAAGTATCCTTCAACACTGACTTATCTTGCCAACAATTTTTTTTCAACAGGGTTAATTTCTCCTCATGGCCACTGACGGTATAATGAAATAAGGACAATGAAAAGGTAAAAGTAAGTTTTGAAGATTTTTCACACAAGAGATAAAACACAACAAATGATACGCTAACACCAAAAAAAAATAACAACATTTGAAAGAAATTTAGAAAGAGATGAGTGACAAGAGACTTGTCTGAGCAAAGAAAGGCTAAGCAGCTCAGAAAAGGTCTGATGGCTGAATTCAGAAGAGAACGAGAAGAGTAGGTTTACTCCCTGTTTAGGATCTGAACTGCGCTGGCAGTGAAAAATCTATATAAATAAGGTAAATCAAAGCCAAGGGCCCAGGGAAGGGTTTCAGTAACGAATCAAAACATTCTATGCATACTCAAAAATACGCACAGCAGAGGGACGAGCGCGGGCAAGGCAGGCAGAGGGTCCCCGGGCAGGGCAGCCGCCAGCCCGGCCAGCACCGCCGCTGGGCCGCCCTGCCCTGCCCACCCGTGGGCTGCCAGCGGCCCCTTCCCGCCCAGCCCCAGCCCCAGCGCCGTGAGGGAGGAGCGGCCCCGCGCGGCGCTCACGCGTGGGCAGCGGCGCCAGCCGCGCCCCCTGCTCTGCGCCGCCCGAGACAGCGCGACGCGCTGAGAAAAGGCGTTGGTACAGCGAGCTCCTGCGCACGGAAACTCTTTTTATTCCCACGTGGTATTTTACACAGAGCGGCGAAAAAACTCAACAAAACAGCACCAAAAAATACCCCTTTATTTTTAAAAAAAAAAATGTTTATTTTGCCGCCGGTACCAACTAAGCGGGCTGCCAGCCGGTCACACCCGAGCTATTTCCAAAGGCCAAACCCGTGACGCCGCCGCGGCGGCCGCTGCCGGCCGTGCCCCAGCCCCCGGACGCGCCGCTCCCACGCCGCGCCCCGGCAGGGCCCACGCGCTAACGGCTGAGGACGTCCCGCCTGCTCCTCCCCTCCACGCCGCGCCCCCCCCCCCCCCCCCCAGAAGGGCGCGCACCAGCCGCGGGCTGCCCCGCCGCGCGCCGGCCAGGCAGGTCCCGGCCGCACTCACCGTCCTCCCGGCGGCGGCCGGACCCTGCAGCACCCGGGCGAGCGCGGCCAGCAGCATCTTGCGCATGGAGCGGGGAGGGGCGGTAGTGCCTGGCGCGGAACCCCGCCGTCCTCCAGTCTCCTTCAGCCGCCGCCCCGGCTGACGACCGCCAACCGCCCGCCCCGCGCCGGCCGATACGCTGCCCGGAGTGACGACGCCGGCCGGCCAACGCCTTCCCCTGCGTCCCCTCCTCCCCGGCGCGCATGCGCGGGGCGGGGCTGGGCTGCGGCGGCGGTTGGCGGCGGGGTCCGTAATGGGCGGGCACGCGGGCGGGGCTCCTCGAGCTCGCCAGCCCCGGGGGGGTGGGGGGGGGGCTCCTGGCCGGCTTGTGGGCTGTGTCCGGGAGGAGGGGCGGTGCAGGGGGTCAGCGAGACACACACCCCCCTCCACCACACACACACACACACACACACACACACACACACACACACACACACAGGCGGGAGGGGCTCGCGAGCCGATCATTAAATGTGTAAAGGATCTAATTTGTTCAAAACCCGTGGAGTCTAGCCGGGATTCATGCTGACCTTGACCAGCCTGACGACAAGGAGTGGTTCAGATGTGCCGCCTCTCCCCCGGCCCTGCCACGTTCCCCAGCTGTAGTTACTGCCTTGGGTCCCCCATCCACCACAGCTGGGGACTGTGACACAGCTTTGAGTATTTCTTGCTCTGCTACACGAGTTGGGCTTTATGAGAGCATTCCCCGATTTTCCTATGCATAACGTAACTAAAGTGTTAAAACAGTTCCTTTTAATTTCACGGTCATCCATCTGCTGAGAAATACAGAAAGTTAAGATTCAACTAAATGTTGAGGAGTCTTCTCATCATCCTATCAGCTGATCTCTCCAGCCAGCCTCCCCTGTTCTTGCCACCCACTTGTAGGCACGCCTGAGGTTATGCAGTGGGTTGCAGTGGAGGGCCCAAACCAGGTTAACTGCTTGTACTGCTGTCCTTGTTCCACACCTGGACATTGGCTCCAGCCCCTGCGCTGCTTCCCTGGGAGGTGCTGATACCAGGGCCTGCAGAACTCTGTAGCTGAACACTGAACAGATCTGGCTAAAAGGTAGCCTCCCCTCCTCCCCCCACAAACAACAAAAATTAAATTATGTTCACCTGTTGGTGTCACAAAAGCTTGTGTCTGCTGAGTTCTGAGGGTTGCACAGAGCTCAGTGCATGTGCAGCACAGATGCTAAATGTTTAAAGCATAATTGGCACTGAAAATACATACCTCAAACCACACTCTCGGCCTCCATCAGAGAGGACTGAAAATGGGCATCCTATTTCCAAAACACAGCTTCGTCTGGATCCCCACTGCACTGTTCACCTCCCTCCTTGGCTGCCCACCTGTTCTGTTACACAGGACACCAGCGGCCAACACGACTTCTTCCTCATCATCTTCATCACGCAAAGTAGGAAGACAGGTAGCCATCTCTGCAGACAGATGTTATGAAGAAGCCTGACTCTTAATGTATTTGGTTAGTTGTTGATTAGAAAAACAAACCCAGGCTTGGTATCGGCTTGCTGGAGGACTGGAAATTACCAAGATTTCTTCAGCTTTAAGTATGGACACAGCATTGGCAGTGCTGTGATTCTACCTTTGTGCTGCTGCCCTGCTGGCACTGTGAGGTACCCTGTGCCTTGGCAGAGGCTGATGTGTATAAAAGAAGCAATATAAAGCTACCTCTTTCCACATCTATCAGATGAAAGCCTTAAAAAATCTGAAAATAATGTCACTTTTGCAATCATCCCTTAAGTAGGTCATGCTGTTTTCAGGTGTCACTAGGAACAAAGCAGTTCTTGCTAACACACTGATAAAGGCAAATCTACACCAGGGCTTCCTGTGAAGTAATTTTTGGTATGCAACTTGCTGGAAGTTTGAATTTTGCAAGTCAGCTCTGCACTACTAAGCAGCTTTAGATACTGTTCATGAAGCAGCAAGAGCAACAACAGCAGCTGGCCTCCAAGAGAACAAAAAGCAAGGTGAAAAGGTTGACAAATTGCTTCAGAAGGCATTTCTCCCAGGGTATCTTTAGGCTATGGCACTTCCCGGCTTGGAAAGCAAGCACAGACTTGCTGGAGATGTTGTTCTGTGGGCTGGGAGTGGCTCTGCAGCTGGAGAAGGCATTATCCCAAAGGTCTGCGTGGGGCTTTCCCCTGGGCTGCCAAGGTACTGCGACAGCCCGAGGGGTCCCAGGCTGCTTCTGGCTGGTGTAGGCACCTCTGCCTGGAAGTTTGCAGCCTGCACTTTTATCAGTCAGTGTTGTGTGGTCCTGGAGGGATTACTGATGGATCCATGCGCACCGATGGTGTTCATGTGCCTACCAATTATATTGGCGTGACTCACGAAACACAAATACTTCCAACGTCCTCCTGGCCTACTCAGGTTTATAGCAAGGCCAGGTGGCACCGGGGATGGGATAATTTATTATGACAAAAGAATGCAGTCACGCTTACTTCAAGTTCAGTGTCATCTAACTGTTCCTTCTCCACATGAAAGAAAAAAATGGAGCACTTTTTATAATTACGCATTTATAGACCGATTATGTTATTAACACTTCTATTAGTCATAGGAAATGGTTATTTTTGATGAGAAAGGATCCATTTTTGTCCTCCCTGGATATATATAGTAAAGCATCGATCTATATTGCCTCTGTGACTTCTTTACTTTTCATGGTATTTCACTAATATTGATCTGTTTTCTCCATTAAAAACTCTTTAAAACATTGTGAGATGATTAAATTGTCCCACAGAAAACTAATGCAGAAAGCCTATTCATGAATAAAGTAAACAATGAAAAGGAAAACATAGTAAAATCATAAGCAGATAATGACACTACAAAATAATTTAATGAAAGATGATTATATAATATTTCATAATGGAGCACCTTGCCATGTGTGACTCTAGTATTACCACATCAAGGGTGTGTTGCGTGGCAGTTGGCCAAAACTCACTGTTTTCTATTGTTCTGGGTGTGATCCTGAAATGTTATCATTTTTTTGGATTGCAGCTGCTGTTACAAATGTCTGCTGTTGGGTTAAAGACAGAGGGGAACATCCAGCGTTGGGGACTCACCCCGGCTCACCGTCGATCTACATCCAGGTGAAACCAATCCTCGCCTCATTTCAGGAGTCAGAAGATCACTGCCTGATTTTTCTTCTTCCCGTGCCTCCACAGATCTGACTCGCAGAAGGCGGCAGTGTGGGGGACTGTGTTGGGAAAATGTTGCAATGCAGTGCTGCTGCACAAGCTGTTCTATCAGCTCTGTCCCCTGTATAGCCCCAGCCCAGGGCTGCAAGCACAGTCAACTGAATAGAGCATCAATAAAATGTTGTAACAAAGGTAATGGTGGGCCTGACAGTTCAAAGGATGTTGATGTATGAGAAACTGGCCCTTAGCTACCGAAGCAATGGGAGATCTATCATTGTGACTACTAAGAACTGAGACGTACAGAACTTGAGGTAATCTCCCTTGAAGACTAAAAGAAAGAAGAAACAAACAACGAAGTGGTCGGACTCCAGAACAAGATGTGAAACCCACTGTCAAGATAATAATGACTGATAAAGTATAATTCTGTGTATTCTGGATTAGGTAATGCTTTGTAGGTGCATAAATACATGTATGCGAACTCATGTAAGCTGTCACTCTCTGCGGAGGTGACCCAACGCTGCTGGACCTGAATAAAATCCTAGAGTAACCCACGACGGAGTTCGAGTCTCCTTTAACACTGACCTGTGGCCGCCAGGACGGCTGCCACGGAACAGCCCCTGGTCACATCGCGTCAGCCTCATTTCCTCTCTGGGGGCATTCACACCCTGGTGTGTTTGCTCTGTGGAGCACCGTACGGTGGGCCCTGAAATTGTAAGAACTATTCATCGCATTTATTTAGTTTTCAAAACGCTTGAAGTAAACTGAGGCCGTGTAGCAGCCCTTCGGAGTGGCATTTGACTGGCATTGTGCAGTGGGACTGTGCTGCATGCTCGGTGGCGTGGGAATCTGTGTGGTGGCATGGTGAGCTGGCTCCGTTTTGGAGGACTGGCTGGGAAAGGTGGTGGCAGAGCCTCACCCACGCTGGTCACAGGCAGCAGCCTCCAGGCCTGTGCCCTGGCTTCTTCCTAGGAGGAAGCAGTCAGTTCATTCCAAAGGAGAGCACACAACTGGATGATCATACTCAGATGTGAACGACTGGGGACCAGGTCCTGGGACTGAACTGAAGAATTAAGTTATCAAACAGAACAGATGTAGCCTTAGTTCCTTTTCCATCTTTAAAGTCTGAATCGCCAGCTTCACTCCAGATGCATCCTCCAGTTCTAAATATATTACACACTGTTTGAAACTGCTCAGCAGGAACAATCCTTTTTCCCTCATTATTTGTTCTTTTGAGTTTTCATTTGTTTCATCTTCTCCCATGTTTCTTCCTGTCCTCCCCTATCATTTGATTTCCCTGACCAAATGTTTCGTCACCTCCTCTCTTCCTTTTCTCAGGTCCACATTGCTCCTCTACATCTCTCACAAAAAAATGTTTCTCTCTGCTTTGCTCTTTTGCTTCTCACCCCTTCTGACTAATTCCCATTCTGTCCTACATTTTCCAGTAGTTCCTGCTTTAGACAGGAATGCTGCTCCCCACTTACTTTTAAAACTGAGACACGTGCAATCGATATTGATGGGGGAATTAGAACAATTAATTACACTGTCAAAATCCTTCAGATGATTTGTTTCCTTTGGAGTTGTTGGAGTTTGGAAGAGAAGTAGTTTTCTAGGATCTTCCAGATGTTTTGCTTCTAGCAGTGACAGAAAAATAGATTAAGAAAGTATAATTTCTGTTTGTTGTTCTGATTGCTTTCCTGCATTATTATTTGGAAAACACTGAAGGAGCAAGATGCCAATGAAGTTATAATGTAATTTTTCATGTTTGATTTATTTATCCTTTTATACCATTCCTCTCTATGCTTCCTATTATGTTACTTTTTTTTGAGTCCCTGGAGTAATTAGCATTACAACATACAGAGAAGTACTGCTGTAGAAAAGGCTGTATTCGTTTACACAGTAAACTCCTAGGGGAAAAAAGATATTATTTTACTCTCCTGGGCAAGCCAAACTACTGTGGAGTTACTTGAACGTAACTGATCAGTTTGAAAACTGGGGAGAAAACAGATATATTTTCTGTGGTTGCTGGATCTTGTTGTTATGAAAA